CGTTTATGTGAAAAACAGGAAAAAATGAATACATTGTATCCACAAGTTATCAGAACATTGCCAACATGTCGTGGACCACGACGGTGCATACTGCTAATCTTGGATTAATCCTGCTTTTGTATTATTCACATATAAAACAAGGGACATTTACTTTCCTGCCAACCTAATACAAGGCCTCATTATTCAAACAATTTATCAGTTGACGTTCTTCTTCTTTGAATCTTCCTGAAAATTGGAAACTTAAACCAACCAATTGGCATCTATCGCTCACCTCGATGCTCTCCAAGAATGAGATTTTGGAAAAGATTATCTTCTCCTTATTATGTCGCTCCTGGTCCTCTGTCAACTTGTTCTCCAGGTATTGCCTCTCCTCCGTCTACAAAATGTATTACAATTGACATTCATTCAAAATGTCACTGATACCTGACTTGCCAGGCAGCACTGGAGCATATTGTTCTGGGTTTTCTGTAATTTAAAATATTTTTCAAAGAAATACATTTCTTTTATGCTACCTTTGCGGTTAAAAGGCGATTGAGTTGCATTATTTTTTGATTCATAGCATTTCTTTGCTCATCGAGTTCCTTCTTCTGCCGGTCACGAAGTTCTTCCAGCCCAATTGGAGAAAGAGACGTCTGAAATAGTTCCGAAATGGGCTGGAAGGAGAATGTGTTACTTACCATAACTGCTTTGACCTGGCTTGGTATAATTAGAGACCCACAAACACAAATTCAGCTGATTAGAACCAAATCCAAGGAAATCTTGAATCCTAAACTTTCCGTAAACACTCTGATGGACGGCCACCGTATACTTACATTTTGAGCTCAATTATCTCAGTTTCTATAGAAGATATCGAAACACTGTCAACTTATAAATTGTTCATCATACTACTGTAAATGTTTAATCAGTTGACCATTTTTTGTTATCTCTAATAGAAATTTAGATAATTGAGCTCAAAGTTCCAGTAAAGGGTTCCTTCTATTAGAGTTTTTAATTCAAATCGATAATTAAACCATAATTTTAATTTTTAGAAACTATAAAACTGTAAATTTTTAGGTACTAAACCTTTTTGGGTTTATAATGAACACATATTTGCAGCGACCACCCAAAAAAAAAGCATTCATCGACAGATGTTCTGATCCCTCCGTGTCCTTCTCGGTGCACAGATATTCTCCTCTTTTTTCTGCTCAATGCGAATATTTTTTGTCTATTCTATCTGAATTCATTTGAAGCACAACGGATTAAGAGAATAGATAATCCGTCTTCGGCTATTTTACACTTTCACATTTTGTAATCGGTTGAATCTTCTTGGTCTCTGTTTGATTTCCGGATGAGGTGGCTATTTTGTGTCCCTGATAGTGTCTTCTTGATTACTTAATTATCTTGTTATTCATTTCGGTTGTTCCCACATTTGCCCTAGCTCCACAGGGTGTACTCTAATGAGAAAGATGCGTGTCAGCTGAAAAGATAATTGCTCTCGGTGCATCTCCTTATATTGAGCTGACAATCAGAAAGTATTATCTCGTTCCCAATTTCCTTTTCCATCGACCCAAGACTTTTCCACGCCCCTTCTCATTAGAGCGTATCCATACCACAGTAGATCAACTTCTGTGCAGTTCACCCCCTTTGAACCCAAACTCTTTTTCTGAAAAAAAACTCATTATCTTAATCAGGCTATTCCCCACACTCACCCCTTCCTAGGATGAGTTCGAACAGAAAAAATAGTTCAAAAGATCATGATTCCCATAATTTCCATCATTCTTGTTGCATTTCATTATATTCCATTACTCTCTTCCCATTCTCTTTTTATTACCAAACATAATTGAATAAAGACATTGGTTTGACATTTCCCAGAGAAGGGTACTGTAGAAACGTCGTAAACAAAGTAATTGTCGACTAACGGCCTAAAATGTATTTCAAAAACGAATGGTCATTTTTTGGTAGAAAGCAAACAAATGAATATAGCTTCATGTCCAATGAGAAAAAAGAGGAGGAGAGATGATGGAGAAATAACAAAACGAGTGAAAGAAAGTATTGTTTTGTTGGGGTTGACCCAGTGATAAAAAGAAAGACGTTTGCCAAGAATTATCGAAGCTATTCATATTTATATTTGCTTTTCCTTCTGTACTAGTTTTCCAACTGTTTGGGATTGTTCATTTAAAAGTGCGTCTAATAGTTCTTGCACTAATCTCTCATCAGAGAAATTCAAAAAGCTCTATGCTGGTATGAAAAACTGGAGCTATGGAAGAGAAAATCTGGGTGTTACGGCTGAACTACCGTAATAAGCCAATACTCAAAAGGACCGCAAATTTTAGGTTATGGTGATTTTCGTTACGGTAACCGTTGTCCACGCCCACAAGATGTTTCTTCCACAGCTTCGATTTTTAATGCAAGCAGAATAATTCTAAAAAAAGTTGGCCTATCTTAATGAAAGAGACTCACTGTTCTGATACTTTGGGGGTAGTGTTCTTGTGACACGCGGTGTTGTCTCTGGCAAGCTGACCGACTTCTCATGAACTAAGAGATCTGATTTTTTGATATTTTGTGACATTCTAGCCTAAAATTCCAGCGATCTCGCTTAATTTTTTCTCTTAATTTACAATTAGATCCTTACTTTTGATTTTCATGAAATGAAGCAACTTTGACAAGCTATAACTCTGTTCAAAGTTGATCAAATAATTTTAAACTCAGGCTGGTGGACAACTGTAAAGCTTCATCATGAAAAAGAAACAATGGCCAAATCCCAATTTTCAGGCCGACGCCCACATGACCCGGTATTTAAAACGCCTATTCTGAAGGTGCAACAAGCAACGGAGAATGATCTCTTTATGAAGAAAATATCAATCATATCAGGATCCAATCCCGAAATTCAGGTAGTGCGTGGTCTGATAACCGTTTCCAAAAAATTATCATATTTCCAGTTTCTGAACATCAAACAGGTAACCGCCAGCTTTATTAAAGACGTTTTGAGATGGCCAAAAGGTATCGAGATGTTTGATGTTCTCGAGGAAGACCAGAAAGTAAACGGTGTAGCTATTATTCTATCTAAAATTTCTTCTTCCAGCTTGAGCTGGTTCACAGCCAATGGATACGAATTCTCATAATCACAATTTGTGAAAACGGCGCACATCTTCTGGATCTTCATGAGGAACTCTCCAACATTGTAACTTTATCATTTTCAGCGACAAATGAAGGCAAATACGCATACCTTTTGGATTTGAATGATGCTCTTCAAAACCTTCATAGGGAAACTCTTGCTTTCGATCCATCGTCGGTTCGATTTGGAGTGATTACCATGTTTCTTGGCTCGGTTGCGCATCTTAGTATGGGTGCAATTCAGAACATGTTCGAATCTAACGTTAAGAAATTGCTGTCATTGTGCCTCTGATTTTTGTTATATTGTTATTTTGTTATACTGTTTGTTTAGATTTGAAACGGCTTTTGTTTAGATTTGAAACGCCTTAGGGGCACGGTTGAGGTGTTCCAAGGGCACTTTAAACGCGGCACTGTGCCGTTTTGAAGCAAATCCTGTGCCCCTCTGTGCCCCAGCGTGCCGAAAATTTGCTAGTACAGTAAACCCTCTAATAGAATGCACCCCAGACCGTCAATTTTGAGTCTATATATCTTGGCTGTTGTGGAAGATATCGAAAAGTGGTCAACTGACAAAATATCTTTGATATTATGATAAACATTTTGTCAGTTGACCACTTTTTTATATCTGTCACAGGAACCGGGATTCATGGTCTCAAAGTTGACAGCTTGGGTGGCCTTCTTATCAAAGTGTTTCCGGTAATTTTAGGCTGAAATCTTACTTGAGTTAAAATGGTTCGCATGAGACTGGTCAAGTGGATTCATGCTTGAAATGGAACAGTTTTCTGTAAACAAATTCAAATGAAAGAACAAAGAGATCAAAGAGGAAAAGAAGACCATCAAAAACAGTTTCAAAACAACGGAGGATTCACACTTTTTTGTACATCATTTATGTCTTTGCAATCATAAAAAGTGGAGAGAGAGAGAGAGGGGACTATGAAATGAATGCAAATACAAAAGGGTCATGTTTTGGATGAAGTTTGCACAAGTCTGTGAGAGTTTACTCTTTTTGAAAAAAGTTATCAGGCGAAGAAGCTTTGTAGGTAAAATAAAAAATGCGTGAAAAAGATAAAAGAAACAATTAATTGGAAATGGAAACGAAACGTTCGATTCTCTCGCACACTGTATATTCTAAAAGTGCAACCAGCTGTTAGCCTATTTTATTTTCTTTTCAATGATTTGGTTGGATTCACAGATAAAAAATGATTGAATTCGGAAGTATCTAGTTGCTCTACTGGTAACCCACCCTGTATGTGGACTTTGAGCACAATTATATCGATTTCTGTAAAAGCTATTAAGAGTTTGTTAACTAAAAAACTATTTATCATAATATCACCAGCATTTCATCAATTGAACGATTTTCTGATATCTCTTGAAGGAACCTTTGATATTATCTCGAGATATTTGAGCTATGGTATTCTAGCGAAGAAATGATTCGATTATAGGAAATTTCAAAATTTATGCAAAAAAGAATAGTACTTTCCCATCAGAATTTTGGAATAGTTGATATTATTCATCCCCCGCAATTGTTTTTGTTTTTTTCGGAATAGTGTCTGTCATTCTCTTTCTCATAGACTATTTTCACTATCAGACAGTGTCCCTCTCTATTTCGAACACTGTATCAACATTGTGTTTTGAACATTTGGGGAGTGACCTCTAAACGAAAAGAAACATTGCTTGCTTGCACCTCATATTCAATTTTGAATGCTAGTCTGTCTAGACAAGAATTCTGAGAATATATGTCTTTACTAAATCCCTCTATCGTAATTTCTCTAATAGAAGCCCAATTATCTCGGTTCAAGTGAGATATATAAAAAATCAGTCCACGGATAAAATATTTATGATATTATGATGAACCAGAAAGCTGGTGCGCCTTCGGCGGGATTCAATCTACTTTTTTACTGGTTTGTAGATTAGCTCTTCACTTTTTCTTGAAGGGTCCCGTAAATCTATATTTATTTTTCAAGTTTTTCAAAAGTCCACAGCTTGAAATGAGGTCGAACAGACGCGTGTAGCGTTTTATATATTAGGAAGATAATATATCAGTTGGAATATTTTTGATATCTTTTGAAGGAACCGGGATAATTGAGGTCAAAGTGAACGTATAGGGTGGGCTTCTATTAGAGCATTTACAATGTCTCAATCTTGATATTGATGATACCGTAATCCCATAATTTTGCAATTTAGTGCTTAAGTTAACACCTTCATAGTGAACCTCTTAGGATCAGACTTGTCAAATGAATCATAATTTTTTAAGCTGGTGCCCGTTCTTCATCGTTCTCAAGTTTAACGTTGTCCGTAGCAGGAATCAAATTCGCGAGGTGCCCAAATTGTTGTAAATCGAACCTAATTCGACTTTTTCAAACTCTATTTTCTGTTTGTTCCACATAGCAGATAGTGTGTGAAAGTGAAAAGTGTTTTTAATCAAAACTTTTGTAAATCGATGGGAAGAAGGTGATACCAGATGAATCATTTAAAGAATCTCTATGTTTTACATTATCGTTTACTTCTTCTTCCAATTCGCAGTTATTTCCCCGAATCTGATGAAAAGTTTGTCTAAGTAAATTTTACCGCTCTTCGTACACTTCTCAAGAATATTTTAACTTTACTCTTTCTACAGTACAAATCTTGCTCGTTGCTATGGTGAATAGAATATAGAAGGCCCCGCTTGAAATAATAATATGGTACAATATCAAGCTCGAATTTCATTTAATCCTTTACCATTGCGAGCCTAATTAGGGCTCCGTCTTCGAGGTGAAATAGAGGATTCGTGAGGTGGCTCACAAGTCATATGCTTCTTCCCACCCATTCAACCACAGCCATCATTGTCATTTTCCACGTTTCGTTCTCTATGAAAATCTTATATTTTTGCATATTTCTCTCTACCATTTTTTCTCTCTGTCAGTTTTTTTCCGTCATTCGCCTTCTCCTTTACCGGAATTTTCGACATATTTAGGCTGATTTTTCAGATGTTTAAAAAAGATTCCAAGATTTTTTATTCTTGTCTCGTACTTTTTTCTTCTCATTTCATATGTTATCTTGTGACTCATAATCATGATGTTTAAGGAAATGTCCACCAATCAACACACCACAACGAATATCAACAACACCATGAAAGAAAACGTAGGTTTTGAATGAATCACAAAATCTTTGAATTGCTACAAAAATCATTATTCTGGTACAAAAATCTGAGCTGTGGAAGATAAACGCAGGTGCCAGTGGTTGAAGGTTTCACAACGACAACTACCGTAACCTACTTTTTTTTCATAATTCATTTTCTCGTTTCTCCCTCATTTTCGTCGAGTTTTCGGTAATTTTTACTCAAACAAGTCGGAATATAAAAATATTTTGAGATTACGGTAGTTGTTGCTGTGGGACCTTCGGCCACGGCCACCTCCGTTTCTCTTCCACAGCTCTGATTTTTTGAACCAGAAAATATATAAATGTACATTTCGGATGTAAAGTCTGATATTTACTTAACATGTTCAAACGCATCTTATTTTTAAGATTCGGAAATCTAAGATCTTATGAAATCTTCAATTGATTCTTTGTATATATTTCCATTGTTCCCATTCTGTGAATTTCAGAAAAAGAATGCCTCTACCCAGACAACACTCTCCGGATCTCATCCATCGACGTCACTCAATCAGGTCCTCTCCGAGTTCCACCACTCAAAATGCATCCGTGAGCGAGAGGTTGGTAATAAATTACTTTATGACTCCAATTCTAAAGTTCAGTTTTCAGGCATTAGAACGCTTGATGCGCAGATACGAGACTGGCCGACAACGCAACCTCCGGATGGTTCGGGAATTCGAGAACTCGCTGATCTGAATATTGTAGAATCTATTTTTTCAATAAAATTTTTATTTTCATTTAGAAGTTGTATGATGATGCTACTAGATTCTCCTAGAAACCAGCCTCGATCACTTGTTCGACGCCATTGCGTATAGACGAAAACTAAACGACTCTGACAAAAGATCACATCAATGAAGTTCCTGAAGATTGCTATCTTGAAGATAAAATAGAAAGGTAAGAGAGAAACTAAAAAACCAAAATATTACACAACTCGAAACCTAAAAGATCGGCATTGGAGATAAAAAAGAAAGACTGCCCTTCTTTGGTAACATCAATAGTGCAATGCGAACTTAGACACAATTGGTACTATATACTCACTTTCGATTTTTATTCAGAATGAACACAATTCTATAACTCTGGTCTAATTTCAATTTGCGGCCGAAAATTTAGGCCCGGTAGCAAAACCCTTAAAGAAGCATGTGCTTTTGTAATTATTTTCTGGCAAATTTATTTCTTCAAAAATTCGAAAAATCGCAAAAAATTGCATAAAACAATGAAAATTATCTAAAACTTCATGAAAATTCATCGAAAAATCGGAAAAAGTTGGCCAGAAAATAATTTAGAAAATACATGTTCCTTTAAATGCGCCTTTAAGGATTCCACCCACCTTCACATTTTCGGCCTCAACGAGCATTGAAATTAGACCAGATTATCAACAATTTTAATTTTTTTCAGCACACACTATCAGCTTCAGATACCACCTATTCAAATATATTTTTATGGTTGGAAAGGTAAGTTTTAGGATACAATAAGAACTCAAAAATCTTTCACTTCAGACTAGAAACGCTTCTACTCAAACTGAAATCACTGGAGAGCACCCTGAGCGTCCATTAAAATTACTTATTGACACTTTTCGCAAAGAGAGGGCTCTATTAGAATCATTGGTAATTTTAAAATTTAAATTGAAAGATAAAGTTAACAAAGTTCTTTAGGACAGAGCTATGGATAGACATGCGTTGCTGTTAATGATGCGGATCATGGCCCATACAAGATCGTGAAAATTAATGCTAGCTTTCAAAAATCTATAATTTTTTTAGAAATCAATAAAATAGATCGAAATACATATTTTCACAATAAATTTTCATTAGAACAGGGGGACAAGTTTAGGATACTATTTCGAGTTGGAGCTTTCCTTGCTGGTGTCTTTCTCCTTCGAGTTTTCCCAGTCGTATGGGGCATCAATGTCGAGTCCGGCAGAAGTGCATGCCTCAGTAAGTGATTTGTAGATGAACTGATAGTCTACACGATCTTGGTAGGCTCTAGAATCGATGTAGTCGAGGATCTTATTCAGTTCAGTCCAATGCTTAAATCCAGTGTAGAGGGTGTGTCTCTTTTCTTTGCGACACTCCTCTTTCGACTTCAACACGTCCATCTTTTCATTGAGTTTTCTCCAAGGAAGACCACCGACCAGAATCAGATCCAGAAGAAGGTAGAACCAACTTTCACAATCATCTTTTGGTCCCATTTCGAAGTTGCGATGGCATGCAAGAGGAGCGAAACGAACGGTTCCCTGGAAATGAGAAACTCAAAAAAAAAACAATCAGTATCATAACCAACCTTGAACCCAACGGTTTCTCTTGGAGTCTTCAATTCATTTTTGGTGTTCAAGAATTTCCGAGCAATTCCAAAATCGAGAATGTAGATGAGATGTTTCTTATCATCCAACCCGCATGCATAGTTGGCCGGTTTCAGATCACGATGAATGAATCCAAACTTGTGCAGTTCTTCCACTGCCTCCAAGCATTGACTGGCGACTCCAAGTCCCGTGGCAAACGAGAATACCTTCTCAGCTCTTTCCGACTTCAAATCGCCCAAACTCTTTCCGACCAATTCCATCACCAAAAAGAAGAATCCTTCCTTATCTTTCTTGCCACGATCCACAATTTTAGTGAAGTGCTTTCCAGTACCGACCAATTTCAGAATGGCAATCTCCATTTTGAGTTTCGAATGCTTTCTTTTTTCGATCTTTCTCTCGACTTTCATTGCACATTGCTTTCCTTTGTCGTCCTTAACCAGGTAGACGGCGCCGAATCCTCCCTCACCCAGAAGACGAACGACAGTGTATGTTGCCTTACCACTGGTTATTTCATGCCCCTGAAACCAAACGGTTGTGGATCTGATAGAGAAATATGAATACTCACGACTTTGAAGTTGACATCATCTTCTTCTTCGTCGGACATGGCTAACCAGTGATTCAAGTTTCAAACAAACTACCTCGAAGATTTTTTTGAAGAGAGAGCATTCATGAGACACGAATCATTTTACTTTTTTGAGACGTTTTTACACGCGTCACCTATTTTTTCGAATAATTTCCCTACAGTAATCATTTCCATTTATTATTTTTTTTTCCTACAGTAATCACACTTGGGTTCAAAACAACGGGTCAAAAAACGCGCCCCAAATAACTTTTAGGCCAAAGGAAACTTGATAATTTCAAAGTTGACGTGGATTTGACCTAATTAGTTTTAATCAACGAGTGTCAACGCGTGATTTTTTCGTCCAACGTTTAAAAGTTTGATCCTCAGTCAAATAATTCAGAAGCGAATTTTTTTTCTAAAATATCACGTTTACTGGGGCGAGATTTCTGACCCGTTGGCTTGAACCTAAGTGATAATCATTTTCATTTTGGAATTGTTTACCTACAGTAATCCGTTTCGAACTGTTCTCCTACAGTAACCCTTCTCATTTTCGAATCTTTTCCCTACAGTAACCCTCTTCATTTTTGATTATTTTTTGCCCTAGTAATTTCATGTAGATTAGAGAAACATCAAAATCTATTTATTAATAAAACTTCAATAAAACTCGAAATTTATCCGACTTTGATTATGACACAATACACTCTATCTTGGAGTTTTTCTGAAATCAGAGTAGCTGAAAACTTAAGGATGTGTTTTCTTTTTTCTCACCGGGTGTAAAAAGTCATAAGCTGAAGTTTTTGGCTTGTGTACCGCAGGCTTCTCTGGAACTTCTAGCCGTTGGCTTTACTTCTGTTTAGAAGTTTCTGAAGTGGAAATAGAGGGATCAGAATTAGTGATATTTTGGGGATCCATTGAATCAGAGAGATAGAAATGTGTGATGGTTATCGATGAACTGCACTTTCCTAATTATAATATGGGTGACGTGTCGTTTGCTATGTCATTTGAACGATTGAGGACAATAACTAAATGATAAGATATCGAATGAAAACTCTACATGATATATTGTAAAACCTGTAGTAGAAGAGCCCCTACACTCTGAAGTTTGGTCTTAATTATCTCAACTCCAGTGCAAGATACCAAACATCTGCCAACTGATAAAATGTTTCTGATATATTATGATAAACAAGTTATCAGTTGACAATTTTTCAATATCTCTAACAGGAACCGATATAAGTTGTGTCACAGTTAAAAGTCAAGGCGCCCTTCTATTGCTGGTTTCACTGTAAAACTCGATAATACTTTTTCTTGTGGACGTCCCTGAATAGGGTTTTTTTTGAGTTATAGCTTTCCAAGAAAGTGAAAGTGCAAGTGAAGAGGGTAATCGAGAAGAAAAGGCGGCACTTTTGAATAACACAGATGTTCAAACTATGTTTTGATTCTTCCACATTTGAGACCGCCCAAGAGAAGTCTCTGTCTACACATATTAAAATATTTGTCCATTATTCAACTTCCACTGGATCCTACTTACATTTGTCAAAATGAAAAACGCTGGAACTAGTTCCAAAAAAGAACCGGATCTTCGTAGAAATCGGTGAGTTTACAGTGTAAAACAGACCTAGATTAGAAAGTTTTTTTCACAGAATTTTGTGGAAAATTCGTAGTTTTTCGCCTATTTGATTTATGAAAGACACACTTTTTCGGTCCGTTTTTTACTGAAAGCGTGAAAAAAACAGGCGTCCTTCAGAAATGGACAAAGAGCTGAAGAAGCCGAGCTATACATTATTATCTTATTGCCCGGTACTGTATGTTGATAAAGTGCATTATATTCTCACAGAATCGAGAGACAAAGACAAACGGAAATCGATGACGAAATTCAGAAGATGATGTGCTTTTTGCCAACTCGTCCTTCACAGCACAAACTTTCAAGAAACCAGATTTTAGAGTAAGTCATTTGAATTTAGTTACTTATGGACTATCATCTACATAACAGAGAGCTCCATGGTCTCGTTGTCAAAATGATGAAAGAAGATAATGCCAAGTTGGCCACTGGAGGAAACAAAAACCAAGCTGATTGAATTTATGTTTGGCTCAACTACTATTGTCTATCTCAAAGAATAACTAAAAAGTGTTTAAAATAAACTGTTACTGCCAAAAACTTTATTTTAAAAAATTGAGGGAAATAAGCATGTTGACTGAAAAATGCTTATCAAAAAGTATGATTTAAAAGTTTTCTGAAGTGACTGGTATCCTTTTTGCTCGAGCTTACAAGATACTAACAAATCAATCTACAGGGTTGCTGAAAAGTATTGAGACACTTGTTTTTTGTTGTATTTTCAAAAATGGAGTTTCAACAAAAGAACCAGATTTATTTTTTCAACAAATGATAGTAATAGAAAAGATATCAGAGGAGATATTCGAAGTTTGAGACTTCGGCCTTGATGCACGCCTTCAAACGAGCTGGAACAGAAGCGACGGTGCGCCGGAGGTAGTCATCGTCAAGATCATCCCATGCTTTGAGCAAAGTGAATCCACATTTGGGTGCGATCGAGCCATCACCTTTTCCTCCAAATATCCCCAAACGGAAAAGTCGAGTGGATTCAGATCGGGCGAGGAAGCGGGCCACATGTCCTTGCCCCAGTAGCCAGGGAAATGAGCGTCGAGAACAGCTTTCGTGGATTTCGAGCCATGGGACGGGGCCCAATCTTGTTGAAGAATGAAGGGTTGCTGGCCAAAGTGGCTAGTGACCCACGGACGTAAAACATCCATCAACACCAACTTTTGGTACACATCCGAGTTGATTTTCACATTTCTATCAATGAAAACCAATGGGACTTTACCTTCCGACGTCAATCCAGCCCACACCATCACTGACTTTGGAAAAAGTCTCTTGTAGGCCAGACGACGTTTTGGGGACTTTGCTTCGTCCTTTGACAACAATTGCCGAGCATTCTGTCGGTTCGGAAGCGGCTCAACCGTAAAAATTTTCTCATCAGTCCAAATGACTTCAGAGAGGCGGCGCACCTTGAGTGCGTCGAGCAACTTTTTCGCTTTTTCGAGCCGATTCTTCTTGGACTGTTCTGTGAGGTATTGGCCACGAAGGAGCCGATAACTGTTCAGACCCAAGTCCTTTTTCAAAATGGATTGAACCGATTGTCTTGAGATTCCGAGCGATGAAGCCATTTGGTTCATGCTGACCGCATCATTTCGTGTGATTCTCTTCTTGATGATGCCACGAGTCCGGCGAGTGTTGACAGTACGAGGTCTTCCGCTTTTCTTAAGCTCCAACACATGTCCTCGATCTTTCAATTGTTGCACAACTCGATAGACAGTTGCTCTCGGAAGAAGAAGTCTTCGAGCGATGTCACCGGTGGAGATGCCGTCGTTGAACAGCTTGGCAATGGTTTGGCGATGAGGAGAAGCTCGCATAACTTCGTGAAGAGATAAAGTGATGGGAAATGGCTCTAATGTCGGCTTATATACGCTCCCTATTTTCGAAATAATACGAAACTTTTCGAAAATACGACTTGGCACGGTGCCAAGAGCCATCATAACAAGTGTCTCAATACTTTTCAGCCACCCTGTATAGGCGATCAACATCATCAATGAACTTCCAGCTGTTTCTATTATCAGTTTAAAAGATCTAGTCAAAAGATTTGGAGCAGAGATAAGAAATTGCTATAAAAGGGAAGTGAATCCAGTAGAATCTTCATCGAGTACTACACACTCCATCAAATCATCGCCATGGCTCAATCCGTCCCACCAGGAGACATCCAAACCCAACCAAACGCCAAGATCGTCTTCAATGCTCCATACGACGACAAGCACACCTACCACATCAAGGTGATCAACTCGTCTGCCCGTCGTATCGGATACGGTATCAAGACCACCAACATGAAGCGTCTTGGCGTCGACCCACCATGCGGAGTTCTTGACCCAAAGGAGGCTGTCCTTCTCGCCGTCTCTTGCGATGCTTTCGCTTACGGACAAGAGGTAAGGATTCGGAATTCAAAAGGAATTCTTCTGAATATTTTCTATTTTTCAGGACACCAACAACGACCGTATCACCGTCGAGTGGACTAACACCCCAGACGGAGCTGCCAAGCAATTCCGCCGCGAGTGGTTCCAGGGAGACGGTATGGTTCGTCGCAAGAACCTCCCAATTGAGTACAACCCATAAAGGAGATTCATTGAACTCGTTTTAAATAAAAGACTTTGAGTAAAATAAAAGTGTTCTTAGTATTGTATATTCTTGTTTGGTTGTTGATTACCACACTATAAAGTTTTTGACGGATCGATATGACATACTTCTTCATTGTTTGGGTTTTCTAACAAGAAATTTGGACACCTACAATAGTCTTTCCTGTATAGTCTTAATGAAACAAATTTAGTTATAATATACCGTACTTCCTCTATGAGAAGCCTGCCCAAACCGTCAACTTTCAGCTAAATTATCTCTATTTCTGTAACAGATACAGAAATGCGGTTAACTAACACATATCATAGGAGCCGAGATAATTAAAGTCGAAGTTTTGGGTGAGCGTCCAATAGATGAAATACGGTAGATGTTGCTTTAGAGTTGACAATTTAGTACATTTTTATTCGAAATAAACCATAATTCATGAACGAGTATTTTTAAGGTTTGATAAGAAATTTCAGTTTTCCTCCTTTTCAGTGTCCTCAGGATTAATATTCTCCTTTTGCTCCTCTTGCTCCTGACCCACCAGACCCTGAATTTCCCCAAATTTGATCTGAAAATAACCTAGTTTCAATTTTCTAAATACCATTAAACGTACCAATACTTTCTCAAACTCCTCTTGGATTTCTGGTGTTGGTGGCTGTCCAGGATTTTCAGGAAAAAACATATGAATTTCATATTCTGTTTGGTTGTCTACCTTTGATAAATTTAAACAAAATTTTACAAAACCTAGTCTCATCATACACTCCCCGCCGTCTTCTTCTATCGTTGGCCCAACCATTAATCTATAAAAAAAGATAAAAAAGATTTCAAATTTAACGAATAGTTGACCCTGTGATGAGTTAGCCCATATTTTTCACTAATTTCCTCTTTTCCTTCCTGTGAAATGAATCCTTGTCCCGCTTCGAAATGTCTCAAAAGGTCAGCACGAAGTTCAGCAGAATATTTTGTAGGCGCCTTCCTTGACCTCTGGAAATGGGATTCGAGGTGCTGGAGTGCGAAAAACTTACTTTTTGTATTTTTCTCATTTTTTTGTGATTCAACCCCCTTATGGATTCAGCTAGTTTAATGTAATCACGTGGAAGGCGTTTCTTGATGTTTCCCAGTTCACGTTGAGTCGTTCAACACCTGTACCAAAATTTCAAATTGGAATGTGTCCCCTGACACACATATTATATTCATCAGATTCAGTTTTTATATCAGTTTCAGCTTATTTCGTTTTGTGCATGTTGTAAGAAATTTCAGCGCTCAGCTTCCATCTTGATACTCAGCTGCTCAGCTTTCATCTGTCCTAAATTTAGAAGACGACCTTCTAGCACAGGTACATTCTGAGAATTCGCGATTTCTGAAAGAAGAATGGAAAATTCAAGTTTCGGTGCATATTTTCAGCTCGATGGTCGGAACGTAGCAAAGGCTTCACAGTTTTGATACCTTATCCATTCGGTAATCGAAATGATGCCTGAACAGCCCATAAAGGAGTTGGATGTCTATTATATTCTGATGACCTGTTTATTAATAAATTGATATTTTAAAAATGTCTTTGATGACTCTGTAATTCTTTTTTGAACGCTTTCCAGCCTACACTATTCTATTTAAATATCATGTCCACCGTTTGTCCACTTTTGACGAAACTGTAAGAAATCTGCAAAACCGTGTCAAAGTGATTGCGTACAATGCACACATTTTGACGCGCAAGAATGTTCTTCGTTCTCTCGAGACCGTACAAATCGGAAAGAGTTTAAATCCGATAGAAACGAAAGCGAAAGAAACGAAACCGTAAGAAACGAGAGACTCCACCGATTCCGAGGAAGAGGTTGTCTCCGAGGAACCGATTCCGAGGAAATCGGGACGGAGTTTTGCAACCGCCGTACGGTTCAACTGCGGCACTGCAAAAATTGAAACTCCGCCCCGATTTCCTCGGAATCGGTGGAGTGTCAGAAACGAAACGGAAAGCACGCTAAACCGTGCACAGTTTTACTGGAATGGCGTGCGCAAGCTACAAATGAGCGAGGGTTTTGTCTAAATCTCTTACAGTTCAGAAATCTCTCGTTCAATTCAGATAAACCCCGCCCTTTTTTGCAGCCTGTGCACGCAATTTGTGAACGGTTTAGCGTTCTTTCCGTTTCGTTTCTTTCGGATTTAAAATCTTTCCGATTTGTACGGTCTCGTTCTCTCCTCAAAATTAAATTATCACCGAAAACTCACCCAGAAATCGTTTATATTTGAGATTTTTTTTTCCGGAAAATGAAATATACTTTCTTTAAATGTTCATATATTGCTTTGTTTGCTGTTTCCGAGATTTCCATTCCATTTATTCAGTTTTCATTCGTATTCTTTTCCAAAACTTCGGCCAAGCACCAAATAGCAACATGTAAAACTTTACGAAAAGTACCGACCCAGAATGCCTTAACTTTGAAATAATTTCATAAAAATGTATGTTAAATTGAATAACTGTTGAATTTTTTCTCGAAAATTCGAAAAATAACTGATTTCGTTTATTTTCTGAAATTCTTGCAAGTTTCATTTCAGGTAACGAATGGACAACTTCACTATTTGGGTCGACTCCGCTCCGTCGGAAACTATCACCGAGGCACCGGTGGATGATGAGTCGAACAGTATTCTTCGGAAGGAGATTCAACAAACTCAACAATATGTTATCGGAAAGCTGAATGAGCAGGAGACGAATGAAAAAGAAAAAGGAGATCATTCCAAAGAGAAAACAATGAAGGTTTTCAAAATGATCACCACCCAAGAGAAAAAGTTAGTAAACGTTTCTCTGCATCTTGAAAGTCTTGAAAAAGTGTGCAAATCGATCGAATTGCAGTTAATAGCCATGAAGGGTAAATTTTTAAAAAATGAGATGGCGTCATCAATTCTGCCCATTTCCAGAGAGCTTCCCGGAATCCATCAGTCTGACTGAAGAATTCTACGAGAAAGATCTACTACACGTGGAAAATCAGATCGTGTTACTACAGGAAATCTGCGATAGTCGTGTGAAAACTCTCAATCAACTAGAACTGAATGGGTTCAATCACAGTAAGGAGGATGCCAAGCTGGAATGCAAGGTAAGTGATTCGACAACAATATACTCACAATTGAAATTCGCAGAAGCTACGAGAATCAATTCTAGCTGCGAAGCAGAAACATGAGAAATTGGTAACACTGAACGTATCGAAAATCAAACTGCAAGCCGAAAAGGATGAATTGATTTCTCTCAACAGTGAGCTTATAATTCGATAGATGCTATTTTGAAACATCTGTTTCAGACCAAGAAGCTGAAGCTATAGAAGCCGCAAAGCTTGTACTCAAGTCTGACCAAGAATTAGCTGAGAAAATGACAGAGGAATGTGTCAGTCTCCGCTCACAACTCGTCCAAATGGAGGCAGCTCAGTCGAACAACCAAGATGGAGCAGACAAACTCGAAATTGATCGTCTTCAGAAGAAAATCGAGCAGATTCGTCAGGAAACTGATGGTATCACTTCTAAATTATCAGAAGTGAGGAAGGAAACAGAAGAAGCTCAGAAGAAGTTGAACGAGCAGAAGCAAACGGAAGCTGACAATCAAGCGTTGATGGGAAAACTGAAAGCTGATATTGTGGCTCTTCTTCAGAAAAAGATTGAAGAAGAGAAGGATAAAAAGAAACGGAAGCCTGAACTGCAGAAAATGATCGAGTTGAAGAAGGCCATTAGCATTGAGAATCTAGCTTTGGAACAAGCAAGAAAGGAGCTTGAAGAAATCCAAGTTGGCGGTAAAACCGTCAGCGAACTCAAAAGCGAGGTGAGATTTTCTTCGGTGAAATCGGAATACGGTTCCTGTTTTAGATTACAAAAATGCAGTCGGAAATCCGCAGTTATGAGAGAGAAATCAAAAAGGCAACGAAAGAAAATGAGAAATTGATCGAACAGGTGCCTTTCATACCGGTTTCAATACAAAACAATGTTATTTCAGATTGCCGAGATTAGGATCCCTTCTCCTGACACAACATTACAATTTCTGAACGACACAGCCGAGATCGACGAATCTGAGTATTCCCAACAAGTTGTTACACCGAAACTTGAGATCAACGTCACTCCGATTCAGAGAGCGATTTCTCGTGACGTCTTCACTGGTGCACCACTGATGACCAGCACCCCACTTCATAAACCTGAACCGTGAGAATCTGCGCTGTTTCACACACCAGTAATAGTAGTTTCAGAACCGGAAAAACACGTGCTGCTGCTCGTCGTCTAGAACAGAATGCGAAGGCGAAGACTGCCGAGTTGCGTAAAAAACGAGGAGGAAAGAAATAGAAGAGAATCATGTATCATTTTGAGCTTGTGTCATATATTTAGTCATATATTTGTTTTGTTTTTTAATCAATAGTTGTTTTATATGAATTGTATTGCCGAAGTGAGCTGAAAAATGCTGTCCCCTCTTCCGGTTTTGTGGAAGCTTCAGAGTCTTGAAATCGTTAGCTGCTTCTGTCTTCTGAAATATAAAATAGAATCTCATAGGAGTGCGGATACATTCTGAATGTAGTTCTTGTCTTCTTTTCAATGACGTTTCGGCTACTCATGTTGTCAGCTGATCAAAGGTTCTCAATTAGAATTTCAGAGACACCCGGAAATGGATCCTTTAAACCCACGTTCGTTGAATATTCAAGAATGTATTTTCGTATACACAAGAATTCAAACCGATTAACTTCAAAAAGTACATTTCGTGATATTTATAATCTTGTTTCAATTCAAACACATCTCAATAATCACATCCCTTGATAGCAAAGGACACATTCTTGTGAGCAGCTTCTCAACGAGTGCGATTTCGAAAATTGCTGGTTTTGTACACATTCGTTTTGAAAACTCGAACAAGAAGTGCATTGAATTTTTAGCTGATTTTGTGATATTTCCGTTTTCAGGTCGAACAACTTTGAGACGCAACACAAAACACAGTCTTTGCAGAATCATTATTCGAGTACAAAAAATCGGAGCTGTGAAAGAGAAACGCCGGTGGCCGTTGCCGAAGGTCCCACAACGACGACTACCGCAACCTAAAAATATATTAATTTTCCGTGTTAATTTTTCTATTTTTTCACCGATTTTCGTTGCTTTATGGTAAAAAGATTGACTGAAAACGCACAACAATTGAGATAATTAATCTGAAAAAAAAGTTTCGGTTACTGTAGTAGTCGTTTTGGGACCTTCAGCCACGGCCACCGGTGTTTTTCTTCTTTTCATTATTATTACTCTTCTGGTTTAATTTATGAATTGAATTTTGTCACTTCACTTCAATTCAAGTTAAATTCTCAAAAATTATGAACGAGAGCGAGTTGTGTTTGCAAGCGTTTCAATTAACTTTGTTCAGAAAAAGGACAGGTGGAGTTTTGCCATTTGTGACTAGCACTGATTTCGACGAACTTATTCAGAGAAAAGAGATTAACATGAACTAATGTTCTTTGTAGTTCTGAAACAACTTTCGCAGCTGTCTTCTTGCAAAACGTTTAAAATCCCCATGATGATTCAGAGATAAAGCACCTTTACGTTTGCAAGTTTGACTTTGTTCAAACGAAATTTCTATAGTAACCTGAAATAGGTTTTGCATGAAAGCGTGTTCAAATCAAAATTTTTCAGAGTTTCTAATTTCCAAAATTTCCAAAAGAATTCGGTAAATTGTGTATGTGACAAATACCGTGAACTCTTTAATTAATAGAAGGGGCTCCCACAATGTCAAGTTTGAACTAATTTATCTTGGCTTTTATGCAAGATAAACACTTCATAAGTGGACAACTTTTTTTGACAGGAACCGAAATAAATTTTGACAGGAACCGAAATAAATTGGCTCAAAGTTGAGAGTTAGGGGCGGGGGCTTCTATTGCAGGTTTTACGGTATACGTTCAGCACTGTTGCCTGGTGTACGTATTCAAAAAAGAGATTTGTTTTCCGAAAATTCTTTTATCTAAAATTCTGACAATTCAAGCAAACAGTTAAACGTTATGTTCCACGAGTCGTATTCGCGAAATTCCGTCTTCTGTGGATTATCTTGTTCCGTCTTCCCTTTTATTTCAGTCTTCCTCCTTCAGTGGAGCAAGATTGTATTTCGGTCCAATACTGATTTTCCGAAAATTGAATTCTTCTAACCTGAATAACAGAATGACAATAAAAATATTCCAGTTGACCAACCATCGTCATTTTTATTCACCTCTCCTTATTATTATTGTGGCTCTCTTCTTGATATCATATTATTCACCAATTATTCACCAATTTCCTATCAAAAACTGCAATTAGTGTGATCCTTGGTGATGTTTGAGAGTCTTTCTCATAGAAATGTACTTGCACACCTTCATATTATTTTTAACTTTTTCCCATAAAATTTCATGCCATAGTTCATTTGTGTCACGAGTTTCCAATCTCCTTATTAAACTAGAAGTTTGTATCAATGTGACGTTGGGAACGAATTTGAAGCAAACAAAAAAAAAAGAATAATATTGTAATAAGATTATAGAAAACCCCGCCCCTTTTACCCTTTTTCAGCTCCGCCTTACCCTTTCTTTTTGCTATAAAAGGTTGAAACTAAAAAAGAGAAATTCACACATGGTGATGCATTCGTCCACTCTCCTCGGGCTCCTTCTTCTCGTTGCCACCGCATCCAGCATGGCTCTTTTCGAGTCAAAGGCTGTTGATGTTCCAGACCTTCCAGCTGGAGAAATGGATGACGATGCCCAGTCAGCAGTTCTTCTGTTCATGAAACTATTCAATCCATCCAAACCCAAATCCCGTCCACAACGTTCATTCCAACACAAGACCTGCGGACAGAAGGTTCTCGAATACACTCTCAAAATCTGCGATTCCTTGGACATCAGTAAGTTCTGAAAGTTCTCTCTGTTGATTCTGATATATGAATGTTCTAGAAACTCAATCCGAGGTTGACATCTCCTCCATATGTTGCTCATCAATGTGCTCCGACGAATTCATCCGTAAGGCCATGTGTCCAGAGAAAAAACACTAAATCTCAGGTAGCAGTAAATTCCAACTAGCTGCGTTTGAAAAATGATTTCTTTTCAGAAAGTCCTGCACAAATCTCTCTCTCTCTCTCTTCCCAAAACAGCAAAGTTGGCGAAAATGCATCGGGAATTAAATCTCATTTATATTTACTCACATTCTGTAAATTCTCTGAATGCATAATAAAATGTTTCATGTGATTAGTTGCATCGAACGAAACATATCAAGAAGAATTGAAATTTCCAAAAATAGATCAGAAGCGGAAATTCTAATGGAGATTTGCCGTTCTCTTCTAGGGCCTCTGGGGTTGCTCTTTTTATTCGTCGACAAGACTGGAAATAAATGAAACACAACGAAGTTCTAACGTAATTAACTCCTAGCTTTCGTGCGCATGTGCCATAAATTCTCTTGATGTTCTTCCAAAGGTACTTCCGTTCGTCTTGATTCGAAAGACTGGTTCCTGAAAGGCAAATTTAGCTCCGCCTGTAAGCTTTGAAAAAAAAAATCCCTCCACATAACTGAGAAACGTTCCCATTGTTAGTGAATCAACATGCTCTTCAAACAGTTTCATCGCTATTATGTTTCTCGTTGAAGAAAAATACTGAAGCAGTCAAATGAAGCGCCGCCAGCCATTTGCAACCTCTTCAAACCTTTCATGTGATATTCTAAAAAATAGGAAGTCAAATAAAGTTAGTTTTGATGATTGATCCAAAGTTTGCGAAAATCAAAGGACGTTCCTTTCACCCAGTTTGCGAAAATCAAAGGCCGTTCCTTTCACCCAGATTACCGTGAACACTCTGATCGAAGGCGCCACCGTTAATTTTGACCCAAAATATCTCGGTTCTTGTTAAAGATTTTGAAAAGTATCCAACGTTCCTGTATGAGATATCGAAGAGCAGTCAACCAGTTAAATAAATTCAAAAACCGTTCTTGGTTTGAAACTTTATGATTTGGAAAGGGGGAGTTTCAAAATTGTTTAAATCGTCGATTTTTTCGTAAAAAGTTTGCTTTTTTGTGCTTTTCCAGGAAATATATTAGAGACGATAAAAGTATTCTTATCTGTTTTTATTTTTCCAAATTCACAAAAAAATATGGTTACAATAGTGATTAATTTATAAATGTTTACGTGAACATTATTTAGAGAAGGTGAATCTGAATGGTGAGTTTAAGGGATAGTGGTTTTGAAGATTGGCGCCATGCAGTGTGAGTACTTGACACAAACCTGTTCAGAATTTCATTTTAACTACTCGATTACTTTATAATCCCATAAATAAATAACTTCGAGAATTCACTTCCCAGAAACCGAACGTCGGTTTCCCAGAATTTGAAAAAA